AATAAAAATAAATGAAAAAAAAAGAAACTTAATATTGTTAAGGTAGCAATACTCGCCAAATTAAATTATGGATTCATAGCAAATCCTACCAAAATCCCAGCTACATTTTTTGCAAAAACTGACAACCTGAGTCTAAAAATTATATGGAAATGCAAGGGACCAGAATATCCAAAACAGTCTTAAAAAAGAACATAGCTGGAGGACTTGCACTTCCCAATTTTAAAACTTAATATAGAGATACAGTAATCAAGACAATGTAGTACTAGCATAAGGAGAGACATATAGATCAATGGAATAGAACTGAGAGCCCAGAATAAAACCATACATTTACGGTCAACTGATTTTTGAAGAGAGTGCTAAGACCATTCAATGGGGGAAAATAAATCTTTTTAACAAATAATACAAAGATAACAGGATATCCACATGCAAAACAATGAATTTGAACCCTTATCTCAAACCATAAACAAAATCCAGCTTGAAATGAATCAAAGACCTAAAAGTAAGAGTTAAAACTGTAAAACTCGGAGGTGCTGATAGTCCCCATGCCAGCTGCACCAGAGCCCGGGGACCCTGGGAAGGGGAAGGTAGATTTAGAAGATTATGTGACACTGGAGAAGGAGGATTTATCTTGGTGACTTTAGGATGCTGGTTCCATTGTAGATATAATTATGCAAAGCTAAGAATCCAGGAAAGACTTGCCATAGAAGGAATTAAAAACAAGATTTTATATGAAAGTGCCCATCATGATCCTGAAAGAAAACAAATCAATGGCAGCAGCAGCAGCAATTGAGCACAGAAAACAACTCACTTCAGTGTGAACAAAGCTGAGATGAACTACAGAAAACATTTTATGCACCATAAGAAGACTTGCAATCAAGTATATAAAGTATGGGTAAGTTGTAAAAAAAAAAAAAAAGAAAACAAAAACTGTAAAATCTGAAGAAAATGTAGGCATAAATCTCCATGACCTTGGATTAGGCAATGCCTTCTTAGATACAACATCAAAGCACAAATGACAAGAAAACAGAGAGAAATTGGACTTCATCAAAATTAAAAACTTTTGTCTCAACAACACCATTACAAAAGTGAAAAGTTAACCCACAGAAATATATGGAAATCATATAGCTGATAAGAAACTTGCATCTAGAACATATAAAGAACTTTTACAACTCAACAATCAAAAGACAAACCAGTGTTTAAAAATGGGTAAAGAATCTGAATAGACTATTTCCAAAGAAGATATAATAATGGTCAACAAACACATAAAACAATGCTCAACTTCATTAACCATTAGGGAAATGTAACCAAAAATCCCAATGAGATACCACTTCACACCTACTAGGAAGGTATAATCAAGGAGGCAGATAATAACAAGTGTTGTTGAGAATATGGAGAAATTGAAATCCTTATTTAGTGCTGCTAGGACTGTAAAGTGGTGCAACTACTATAGAAAACAGTCTGGCAGTTCTTCAAAAGTTTAAACATAGTTACCATATGACCCAGTAATTCAACTCCTAGGTATATGCCCAAGACAAATGAAAACATATCCATAGAAAAACTTGTAGGCAAATGTTCATAGCAACATTATCAACAATAGCCGAAAAGCAAAAATAAACCAAATGTTAACTGATAAACAAAATAGGATATACTCATACAAAAGGAGTTATTATCCAGCCATAAAAAGGAGTGAAGTTCTGATACAAGTTACAACATGGATGGACCTTGAAAATATCATGCTAAATAAAAGAAGCTAGTCACAGAAGGCCACACAGTATGTGATTCCATTCATAAGAAATGTCCAGGATACTAATCTATAGATACAGAAAAGTTGATTACTGATTGTCAGGGACTGGGGACTGGTTGGTGGGCAATGGGTGTGACTGATAATGAGTATAGGGTTTCCTTTGTGATGAAAATATTCTAAAATTAATTGTGGTGATGGCCACACAACTGTGAATATACTAAAAACTACTGAATTTGCATTTTAAATGGGTGAGTTGTATGGTATACAAATTACAGCTTAATAAAGAGGAAAACAGAAGGTAAGAAAGTATGTTGGAAAAGTCTAAAGATGCCACACATAGAGGCACAATCTTTGAACAATTTAGTCGCAACGTCAATCCAGAGTTGGATAAACATACATAGACACTTTTCTTATGTGGGTAGGGACTAGAAAGAAAGCACTGTCATTGGAACAAGATGAACAAGTTACTGGTCAACTCCCAGGACAGGGGAATAGTCCTGTGATACAAAGTCATTCCCCACCCTTAATCATCTTTTACTCTACTCCTCTCCCTGTGTTTTGATAGCTGAAGTAGTGTACTGTTAGTATAAGACTGAAGGTAGCCCACCATTTTGTGTATGAGAAGCCTGAAACATATATCTCATTATTAAGATTTTCAAGAGTTTGGAAATTTCTATGATTCCCATACATTGCTCAGGTTCTGCATTTCAGATAAACTTGTATTTATAATCAAAGGCTTGGGTTTTTATTATGCTGACCTATTTAGTTTGTTAATTAACCAGTGAGTCATCTCTAGTTCTACGATATGTTGGTCACGCTTCCAAGGCTGTTGCTACCACTGCTGCAGTTTCATTTTTAAAAAGATGTTTACAGTATTTCTATAGGCAGTCAATTCATATAAATATGGTAACATTAACAATACTATCTATGGACATGATGCCATTGGTGCACTGGTTACTCAGAAAATCTGCATGGAATTGCTTACTTTCTCTATGGGTTATCATTTTTGTAATAAGCTAACACTATTAATGGTGACTTTATTCACATTTTATAAGCTGTTCAAACTGAAAACAGTAGTTTCCAGGGAACCTGGAGTCAAGCTTCATTGCAAAAATAATCAGTATAGCAGAAATGTATTCTTTAATGTGAATTCATCTGTAGACGCCAAATCACTTTATGAAATCATTAAACTACATAAACAGTAATACCTAACATATGCAGTGTTTCAAGGCATACTTAGTTGGCTTTCTCTAGTCTAACCCACCGTGTTCTCTCTATATACCTTTCTACCCTCAGTTTGGAAGCTGGTGAAAAAAATCCAGTAAAATTTTGCCATGACCTGGAGAACTCATTGGCCATAGGACACAAAATTATCCTTACCTTTTCCTTTTTTCTCCTTAGCCAACAATAAGTCATGTCCAATCTTTCTATATAGTATCTCTTGCACTTATCCTTTCTTCTCCATTCTTGTTCACATCTATGGGCTTATGGATTCATAATTAAGATTACTGCAATAACTATCTAACTGGTTTCCATATGTCCATCTCTCTTGGACTCAAAGGCATCTGGCAGCAATATAAAGGATTACATTTATAAAAATAATATTAAGTAATTGCTCCATTCAAAAACCTTGACTGGTTTCCTCCTGTTCATTGAGTAAAGTCAAAATGCTATTATCCTGGTATTCAAGGCCTTCCAATATCTAGGTCTGAATTTTCTTTCTAGATTTAGCATCCACTACTCCCTTGAACAAAACTGGTTCTTTCACCATTACCCTGAACTTTTACAAAATCTTTCTACACCTTTCTGCATGATGGTCCTCCTGCCTAGAATAGCTTCTCATTTTTGAAAGCCTGTTCAAGGCTTACTTTTCTTCATGAAGTTATCCCTGAACATTAAAACTCACAGCAGTTTCTCATCCCTTGAATATGATCTGAGTTATGAACAGTGTCATTCATTTGGCAGTCCTCAGAGACAACTTATCTTGTCTTATATTGTTAATTCTTGTATTATTTAATTTCATGTCTATCTTGCCTCCTCAACTAGACTGCAGCTTCCTTGAGGGCAGTGGTCATTTGTTAAACTTTTTAAAATGACCCACAGGGCACAGTATATACTGGGGGATGGGATAGGGACTGGTCATTGACAAAAAAATACTCAAGTTTCCCCAAGATGCCTCATTCTCAGAAGGCAGCACTCTCTCTGGGTGAGTTTTTTTACATATATGTGCCACATATAATAGTTTTAAAGATGAAACTAACTCTTCACATGACTCCAAGATATTAAGGAATTACCGACTGCCTCTGGAATTTCTGAATCCCTTATTAAAATATAAAATTAATCGTTTATAAGTAATTTCGTGCTCCCCTGAAAGCTTAAAAATGACATGTAAAGAAATACGCCCAAGCCAGGTGCATAATAATCTCTAAGATTATTATCACAGAGTATTGATCACAGAGTATTTAAAAAGCCAAAGCTTCACACAATCCACTTATATTTCAGTGTCTGTTTTCTGTTTTATTTTTTTTAATGTCTATAAGATAGGCTAAACTACATAAGAAAAATAAATCTAGGACTAAAGTTTACATGAAAGGCAGCCAAAATTATATAGATAGTTCAAGGTAAAACTGTTCTTCACATCTTGGTTTCTCCTGAATTATTTAATTAATCTGAGGTTTCTTCACGGTTAGAGATGTAATCCTTAGCCAGCAGCTGCTAAGTGGTGGTTATGTATACTGACCCAAGAAATGCTGTGATCATCAAGTTCTATCAAAATCCTTATTAACCTTGTAAACTGAAGACAATCATCATTACAAAATCCCTACCCTCAGATTCTGCTGCTAAAACTTTGAAGTAATTGCAAATCTCAGAGATGTTTTGTTTAGCTTTATGGACAGCCTCAGCTGAGGAAGCTTAGGCAACAAAGGCTGCTTGCTAGGCAAACATAGGCCACAAAGGAATCCCTTGTCTTGTATGTCAGAGACCACTGACTGGAATACCTAGCATCATTGGATCAAAATTTGAAGGATTGGTAAGCCTTGTATTTCGATATATATCCTTTCTTTGTGAAATTTTCCTTTTCACATAATGCTTTTGTTTCCTTTAGCCCAGTCTAGACCACTGGAAGGCAAGGTTTCAAATTATCTCCTCAGTTAGAAGTATCCATGTTTTGTGAAAATTTTATCAATTTTTTCTCCAAGGATTAGTATCATAATGAATTTAGCTTCCTGTCAAGAAAAATGCTAAGTTCAAAGTATTATTTCCTTCACTTCTAATTACAAAGAAGTTTTACCTTTTATTGTGTTCCATTATACAATTTTACACAGTACCATTAATATTTTAAGCAACAATTAAGCAAATCGAATTAAAGTTTTTGAGCTCTACTTCTCAGTATATAGATTTACCTAAAAAAGTACAAACTAAGCACAGTGGTGCAATTTTCCAGGCACTTTCAAGTTGCTTAAATATTTACAAATATGTAAGCACCCTGTATGAAAGCATGAAAATTTTGGTGTCAGGAAGAAACACTCTGTGTATAACAAATCTTTAAATTTTTAACATTTGCACAGCTCCAAATATTCCTGAGAAAGTTCAGTCTTGTTGTTACTTGACATCTGCATGTCCTCATATTTCAGCAGTGTATCTTGGGGAACCATAACTTCGGTCACTCGATGTACCACTAATTGCACAAAATACATGTAATGTGTTGCTCATCCAGGGAGAATGCATTGGGTCTTCTTGTATTATCTAAAACGAAAGAAATGGCATGTTTATCACAAGCAAAATAGCCACAGCCAAAAAAAGCATGTGTATATGAAATCACAGGCATATACCAATTTATCACGGACACTTAGATATTTAAAACGATATAAAGCAGAAAGAGCAAAGAAAAACATTACCGACTCAAATCTTCAAAGCTGTATTACAAAGGCAGCATATCAAAAAAGCAAAAAAGATCTGGTTACTCATTAAGAAAAATGAAAGGTGGTAAAATGCAAAATTCAACAGAAAGTGAGAGGTAACACAGTCTTAAAAAAATTTTTTTAACAGATGGTCATAATTAGAGCCCAAACAATAAACTTTTTGATATGAGTTTATAGATCATCTTCTAAGAATGGTTCTCAAGTTCACTGGGGGGCTTTTCAAATATCCTGATACCCATGCCCTTTCCCTGGAGACTTGGTAAATAATTTTAAGTGAAGAGAAAATAAGTCAAATTTTCAAATGTACACCATAATTATACTAATTGATGCAAAAGATTTTTCTTGGAAATGAAGAACTTCATAAATATATACATATAATCATATTAGTATAGACATTTTAAAAATTATCCATTTTGTGTGATCAAAATCAACTGATATCTCATGCATGGATCAGATGGAAGAATAGCATACACATCACATCCAACCTCTTCACTGTACAGTCCCAACTTAGGTTTCAAGCTTTCAATACTAGGTTCACAAATTAGCTCTGAAACTTCAGTATTAAGCCTGCAAATTGGCTTCTGGTGGCAGAAATGGGTCATATCATTTGTGCTGCTGCAAATCATGTCTTATATAAAATCCGTAATAGAAAAATTTCCTCTTATAAGAGAAAGAACTTCATATTTTGGTACAGTGTAACACATAACACTCAAAAGGGCCAAGGAATATCCAGGCCATATCTTTTGGTCAAGTCATCATTTATGGAGCCAAACAGATAAGTCACATTTCAGTAAATAGCTATATTTTATCTTATTTTATATTATATTTTCCTTTGGAAATAATATATCTCAAAGTGTCTGACTAAAAAAAAAAAGCTCTCCTTTATGTGGAAATATTGAAATACTGATTTACAAAAATTCATTAAAAAGTCAACATTTGCCCAAACCAAGGTCCATCTAAATAGGATACATCATGACAATACAGATTTCATAAATATAAACCAACAGAAAGTAATACTTTTCTTGGTTACCTATCAATATATAATATAAAAGAATTTAAAATATAGAAGAATATATAACATCAAGGGTCTAAAATTTGGTCTCTAGAACTAAATATAATAGCCATGGTTTATAGAAATTAAATGAGAAAGACAGGTGGGAAATATGACAGCAGATTCATAAAACCCCAATTTCAGGGTGTTAAAAAAAGACAAGGGACTTCCCTGGTGGTCCAGAGGATGGGACTCCACGCTCCCAGTGCAGGGGGCCTGGGTTCAGTCTCTGCTCAGGGAGCTGGAGCCCACATGCCGCAGCTAAGACATGGTGCAGCCAAATAAATATTAAAAAAAAGAGAGAGAGAGAGAGACAGAGACAAGAGGTTCAAAATGGAGTCACTTGTGCTAAACCCACATCACCTGAGAATTAATATCAACCTAACTGCAGTTTCAGTCTTTTCCAGGCAGGTAATCTTAACTATTCAAAAAAGCACATGTACTACTTTCAAGTTTGAAATTTCCTGGTCAGTACTAATGAGGTAATTCACTGGAAAGACCCTTGCTGTGCCCCAGAGGAAGGTGACCTTGCCTGAAACAATCCTGTCTCTTTTAGAATAACTTCCTTAACCTGACTCCTTCTACCTGTAAAAGGCTTCCATTTTCTATGGCTCTTCAGAGCTCCTTTCTATCTGCCAGATGGGATGCTGCCGGACTCATGAATCACTGAATAAAGCCAAAATCCTTAAAACTGACTCAGCTGACTCTGACTAAAAAGCAGAGACATTGCTTTGTTGACAAAGGTCCATCTAGTCAAAGCTATGGTTTTTCCCAGTAGTCATGTACAGATGTGAGAGCTGGACCATAAAGAAGGCTGAATGCTGAAGAATGGATTCTTTCAAACTACGGTGTTGGAGAAGACTCTTGAGAGTCCCTTGGACTGCAAGCAGATCAAACCAGTTAACCATTAAGGAAATCAGCCCTGAATATTCATTAGAAAGACTGATTCTGAAGCTGAAGCTCCAATACTTCGGCCACTTGATGTGAAGAGCTGACTAACTGTAAAAGACTGATGCTGGGAAAGATTGAAGGCAGGAGGAGAAAGGGACAACAGAAGATGAGATGGTTGGATGTAATCACCAAATCAATGGACCTGAGTTTGAGCAAACTCCAGGAGGTGTTGAAGGACAGGGAAGCCTGGTGTGTTGCAGTCCATGGGGTTGCAAAGAGTCAGACATGACTGAGTAACTGAACAACAACATCAGTTCAATTTTGTTTTTTAGCAAGCAAAAAAGAACTGTATAGAATGACTGCTCTAAATTATCTTGATAGCATCATAATAGCAGTAAATTGAATAATTTGCTTTCAATTTGAATAATTTAGAGTTCAAGGCTAGGTCATACAGTTGCATGCAAATTCTATAACTATAATATACCAGTGAAGCTGCTCAGTCATGTCCGACTCTGTGCAATCCCAGGGACTGTAGCCTACCAGGCTCCTCCATCCATGAAATCTTCCAGGCAAGAGTACTGGAGTGGATTGCCATTTCCTTCTCCAGGGGATCTTCCTGACACTGGGATCGAACCCAGGTCTCCCACACTGCAGACAGATGCTTTACCGTGTGAGCCACCAGGGAAGCCCCTATAACTATAATAATAATAACTATAATATAACTATAATAATATATAGGATTAAAATGCTATAATTGTTTTATATTTTTCTAAAGGAGGAGTTTTGCTGTTTTTTTCCTATGGACAATGGAGAACAGAACCCCATAAACTGAACAGTTTCTAGGAACAAATTATGTTGTCTATTTGATTAAAGTAGTCCCCAAATGGCTCAGATGGTAAAGAATTCACTTAAAAAGCCGCAGACCCGAGTTTGATCCCTGGGTTCGGAAGATCCCCTGAAGAAGGAAATGGCAACCCACTCCAGTATTCTTGCTTGGAGAATTCCACAGACAAAAGAGCCTGGCAAGCTACAGTCCATGGGGTCACAAAGAGTCGGACATGACTGTGAGTGATTAACACTTCAACATACCCCAGAACAGTGATGGTGAAGAGAGGCATATCCCCACTGTACTCAGGGGCTGAACCTGAGATACAGACAATAAAGGAAGTGGAATGATTCCCTGCCTGCCTAGTCCTGATCACCTGACTGCTTTGGGAAGGAGACAAAAAAGGACCTCGGAAAACTAAGCAGCAAAGGTATGCCTTGGGATGGTTTACACTCACTCCTAAGTGGGCTAACAGAAGTAAAGATGACAAAAAGAAGAAACAGATCACTGATTCCAGACTCCTCAGGCCGGCGAGATTCCCAGTCATAAGAATGGGAGAGTAGGAGACTGGGATGACTCATCTCATTGAAAGATGGGATGATGACAGTCTAGCTGCCTGGCTTCTCCATACTGAGAAGATGACCACGGTTAGAAAACTGGACTCCTGGTCACGCAGTGCAACTTTAGACTAACTGTAATAAATTTCCCATAGTCCTTTCTAAGAGAAAGCATACAAGATACCGTAAGAGAGATAGCTAGCTCCTCTAGCTAGAGGAGAGATAGTCAACTAGCTCCTATAGCAGAGATAGTCAACTAGTTCCTGTTTTCTTTGAAATCTCTCTTCTCCCCCTCCCCACCATTTCACTGCAGTCCTTTGGCACTAACCATGGTCAGTCCATTTGTACGTACACCCTCCATGTGATGGTCTCACCCAGGGGAGTGTCTTCAGGCAAGCAGTGAAATGTTCACACCAGGACATAGGAGGTTCTCCTTTCTGGAACCAGCAATAAGAATGTGTTCTCTAAAGGGCTATAGTTATCCTTGTTTCTTTTAAGGAGTCTTAATTTCATAAAAAATTGAGAGTCTGAAGAGTTTCTGAAGCAAATATTTATCTTATTGACTGTTTTCCTTCTTAAGGAAAGCAAAGAGACATTATGTAAGCTCAATAGGGCTCAGGCACTGAGGGATCAGACCATCAGGCCATGACTTTTACATCTGTGGTGAAGATGCTAAAATAGTTGAGTGACAATCCATGTATAGAGTGGTTGTAAACACAGATTTCAGGAGCCTAATATAGGAATGACATTTACCAGGATAATTCAGGAGTACTCTGGTTTTAAGGTAAGTAGAAATATAAGAGTCTTAACTACTTAATTATGACATAATTTGGCTGTCAGTGGTCAGCAGATCTTTGCTTCTATATGTTTCAGATTGTGTTTTACTAAGTTAGCTATAATTGTCATTAACAGTCAGTCAAATATTAAAATGCTAGTTATTATAAAAACAGAGTTTTGCAGGTTACATGGGAATTAAGACAATTCCTGAATTTTGGAACTCACTCAGGATCTCACCTAAATGATAGTACAGTTGTCCCTTGGTATCCTCAGAGGATTAGTTCCAGGACCACTGTCCCCCTTCTCCCACGGTTATTAAACTGAGGATGCTCAAGTCCCTTATATAAAATCATACAGTATTTGCATATAACTCATGCATATTCTCCTCTGTACTTTAAAATCATCTCTAGATTTTTTTAATAATAGTTAATACAATGTAAATGCTATGTAAATAGTTGCCTATGTACAGGAAATTCAAGTTTTGTGTTTTTGGAACTTTTCGGTAATTTTTCTTCAATTTTTTTTGTTTGTTTTTTTCCATTTATTTTTTATTAGTTGGAGGCTAATTACTTTACAATATTGTAGTGGATTTTGCATTTATTTTTTATTAGTTGGAGGCTAATTACTTTACAATATTGTAGTGGATTTTGCATACATTGACATGAATCAGCCATGGATTTACATGTGTTCCCCATCCCGATCCCCCCTCCCGCCTCCCTCTCCATCCCATCCCTCTGGGTCATCCCAGTGCACCAGCCCCAAGCACTTGTCTCATGCATCCAACCTGGACTGGCGATTTGTTTCACACTTGATAATATACATGTTTCAATGCTGTTCTCTCAGATCATCCCACCTCGCCTTCTCCCATAGAGTCCAAAAGTCTGTTCTATACATCTGTGTCTCTTTTTCTGTCTTGCATATAGGGTTATCGTTACCATATTTCTAAATTCCATATATATGCGTTAGTATACTGTATTGGTGTATTGGTTTCTGGCTTACTTCACTCTGTATAATGGGCTCCAGTTTTATCCATCTCATTAGAACTGATTCAAATGTATTCTTTAAATATTTTTGGCCTGCAATTGGTTGAATCCAAGGATGCGGAAGCTGCAAATATGGAAGGCCAACTGTATGCGGTTTCCTACATCTAAGACAGGGATATTCATTTAGGGATCTGGCTACTGAGCCAATCATTGCACTTCTCTAGGATCCTTCTTGAGACACCTTAGCCATGCTCACAGTAGATTAATTCAGACTTGCACAACTATTCACTTCTAATGGCACTGTGGCACAAAGAACAAAATAGTTTAACATCTGAAACAACTGCTAAAGCAATTGTCAGTGACTGCTTCAAATCTGATTTGCATTGTATCATTTATATGGGTAAGAACAAATTTTAAAATAACAGACTAAGTAATTTCAAGGTAATACTATTTCAAACTAATAGGTATGCTAAGTAACACTTTAGGGACCCCAGATCATGTTTTCATTTTCAATCACCCTAATACTTGCCTGTTCATGAATAATATCAGACAATTCTTTCACCATGTCTCTGAAATTTGACTTGAGCCCTTCATGGTATTCAATCTGATCCTCTTTAATTAACCGCTCATTTAGTTCCAGTGCAATGCTGCATGCTTGGATGAATTTCCTATAGATGAAGATCAAAGATAAAGTTTTTGTTACTTATTACTCAAAAGTCTCACTGACAATTTAATATTTACTTTAACCACGGCTTGCCTAGAAGGAAGATTAGAATCTCATATTTTCTCACTGTGTTTTTGCTAATGCCATCTCCTAAATCTGAAATATCTTTCCTTTTCTTTGTCTTCTGGTTTCTGATCTCCTTCAAAACCCGGCTCAAAATATATACCCTCTGGGAAGCCTGCCTGCTCAGTCATTTGATATGATATCAGCTATGCTTGCACGTACATTAATTAACATCTGTAGATAATGTCAGTTATTGAAAAATAATTTATTTTGGGCTATGTACCCAGTACAGTGCTGGGTGCTTATAGGCATGAAGTATCCACCCTGGGCTGGTAAGACTGGGGACAGAGAGGTTATGACTTATCATAAAAACTTTTTAATCATTATTTCATATCTTTTATGTTTCATGTCCATAATTAGGATGCAAATCTTAGGGAACAAAGTACCTCACTGACCATTTGTGCTGTATCCCTGCCATACCAAAGAGTAGAATCTTTTTGTACACACCAGGCATTAATAAACATTGAATGAATGAATACTAAGTAAGTAAGTGTTAGTCGCTCAGTCATGCCTGACTCTTTGCGACCTTGTGGACTACAGGTTCCTATGTCCATGAGATTTTGCAGGCAAGGATACTGGAGTGGGTTGCAATTTCCTTCTCCAGGGGATCTTCCCAACCCAGGGATTGAACCCGGGTCTCCTGCACTGCAGGCAGATTCTTTACCGACTGAGCTACAAGGGAATGAGTACTGGTTACTCTGTAACCTGAAACAGCTGATAATACAGAGATAGGAAAAGTAAATGAAATAAGTCAGGAGCAAATGAGTGGAAATTATCTTTTCTACTCAGTCTATTTAAATCATCTGTCTCTCTTATTCTGAATGTAAGTTCTTTTATATAAGAAACAGGTTTTTTCTACTGTGCAACCATTCAGACATGCCTTAGCTTAGAGGGATGCTCAGTCCAGAGAAGATTATTGTATGCCCTAGAATAGCAGAATCCAAGTGGAACTGAGGATACAGGATAGAAGCAAACCTATCCAACCCTTCCTAGCCTAAATGGTCTGGAAAAGCTGTGACATGAGGTCAATCAGGCAAAGGAGGAAATCACATAACAAATGAAGGCTTGTGTTTGTGTCACAATATCCACAGCAATGAAGTAGTTGTCATATTTAATACCTTGGGTCACTAGGACATTGTTATAGTTCTGCAGCAAGAAAGAGATCACACATTTCCTCACTACCTAAAATACCATTAGAAGGTAACTTAAACATTATAAAAGGGAACAGATAATTTTTTTAGAAGGACATTATTTGGTGAATATTTTGGTTTCACTTAAGAAGACAATGGAGTAAAAAAAAAAACTAGAGGTCTGATCTGAAAACTACAAAGCACTTACCTAAACATGTCTTTCAACTCATTTACTTTTTTGGGTGGATACTTGCTAGCTTGACTGTCATTTAAGAAAGCCCTTGCGTATGCTAATGGACCTGCATTTACCTAAATTACAAAAGGAGAAAAATGAGAGTTGTTAGGATGTAATCAAAAAGCAATTTTTTCATTTCTCTTTTTAAAAAGAATAATATATTAAAAATCCATGCCTGAGAAACATATTTACATTTCTTACTATAAATTTATTTGAAAAAGATTAACTAAAGCAAATCATCTGCCAAAATTATACTCTAACAAGTTACTTAACAATTTCTCCTATTGAAATATAGGGCATTATGTTAAAGCTCTCTGACATAACAAAAAATTTACAGAAACTGAACATAATGTCTTTATTAAATTAATAAAAAATGTAGAGGTTTTTGCACCCAGTGAGAGTATAAGACAATTACAATTAGTGCTTGCTCTGTGCCCTTATGAAAGCAAGAGGAACAACAAGAAACATTTAATACATGGTTGGCAACCAACATACCTGCACTGAAACACAGCCCTGCAATTTAAGTTGGAGCTGAATCATGTCCACGTCAGCAGAAGAGCAAAGCTTTTGCAGCTCTGCAGTTTTATCTTTTATTTCATCAGTGGCAACATCAATTGGCTTTAAATGAATCTGCTGTTCATAGTTTATAGGGATCCTCTTCTTCACATATGGAAATGAGTTTGAAGCTATTAAAGATTAAGATTGACAAATGAGTTTTTAAGATAGCAAATCAAATAACCAAATTAAAAAAAAATGTATTCTGCTTAATTCTCCCCTTATTTTCTCTGGAAAAATCCCTTAGAGACCAAATAGGTGCCTTATTACTTCAGGACTGAAAAAGAAATTCTCTGTGAGATGACTCAGACTAATCACAAATTATATAATTACATATGGGGAAGGAATGGTTTACAACATAGGAATGTTTGTGTAAATGAGTGACTGAACAGCAGAACAATAAATGGTTAAAATGTTAGTTACATTTTCCTGCTGACCAGCTGCTGCTTGTATGTATCAAAAAAGATCATGTCAAACAAAGAAGTTATGCCAAGTCCTACTTACTAGTCAAGATTGTACGGCGTTTGCACTGTTCTTCTATACAACCTTGCTTTTTGCCTGACAATGTATAAGGAGCCTCAAAAACAAATCTGTTGATATTATGGTTTCTTTCAAACTCAGTTTTTCTTTCTGTGAGTTCTTTATCATCAAAGTAGGGCTTCACATAAGTGACTTGGATATGAGCATACTTGGGATCAAGCTCTTTGACATTCACCTGGAAAGTAAGAAAGTTTTGTTTTTTATTCAACAGAAGGGAAAATGGAGTACAGGTAAGCTACTAACACCTCTGAGATCAACTGAGGAACATAAAGAAGTTATGCCAAGTCCTACTTACTAGTCAAGATTGTACGGCGTTTGCACTGTTCTTCTATACAACCTTGCTTTTTGCCTGACAATGTATAAGGAGCCTCAAAAACAAATCTGTTGATATTATGGTTTCTTTCAAACTCAGTTTTTCTTTCTGTGAGTTCTTTATCATCAAAGTAGGGCTTCACATAAGTGACTTGGATATGAGCATATTTGGGATCAAGCTCTTTGACATTCACCTGGAAAGTAAGAAAGTTTTGTTTTTTATTCAACAGAAGGGAAAATGGAGTACAGGTAAGCTACTAACACCTCTGAGATCAACTGAGGAACAGTGTCATTGAATACACTGTGAGATGAATACACACTTGGAAGAGGTCTTTGCTCTTTCTTCAAGGATTGTTTCCTTCTGATTATTAAGAAGTTACATAAGCCTATTTGGAGATTATAGAAATGTAGACAGAAAAAAACTGCAATGCTACCACTCGGCAATGATCATCATTTACCTTCTCATGTATTTCCTTGTAATCTTTTTCCTATGCATATATATTTATTTACAAACCAGAGATCATGCTGAGCATTGCTTTATCATTTGTTTTATTTTTATTTACTTTTATTTGCTTTTATGCTATATTAAATTTCTTTTTTATTTTCATTTATTTTATTTTTTAATATAAATTTATTTATTTTAATTGGAGGCTAATTACTTTACAATATTGTACTGGTTTTGCCATACATTGAGTTGAATCTGCCATGGTTGTACATGTGTTCCCATATGTTAAAATGGCTAACTGCACATTTGAATTCCACCTCAAAAAATACCTATTACAGAGAGGATCCTCAGAAGATGGCAGAGCACCAGACATCTATCTTCTTATAGAGACAATAGTTACACCGTCATTACCTATCTGGTGGAACAATTTTGGAACTCTGGAGGCTATTGAAGACTTGCAACTTCCAGGGAAGATTTGGACAGAAAATTGCCTTAATTTTGATTTTGTTCAATTTTAACTCTGGGCACAATGGCAACAATCCATACCTCATCCCTCAGGTACTATGGCAGATAGTTGTGTACATATTCCTAGAACAGCTTGTGGGAGCCAGGATGAACAAAGGCCCTGTCTTCCAAATATCGTGAATCTGTGCTATGACTGCTGATTGCTGCTTCTGATCACAGGGGGACAGTCAAAGAGGCTGTGGCCATTTTTATACCACTTCTTCCCTTTGTTGCAATGCCCTCCCCCTCTGCCTAAAGTGACTTTCAGGGGATTTAACAGACCAGCACCTTTCCTCTCCTCTTCATTTTCCTCTCCATCCCCTCTTAGGAGCTGGACTTCCAATACTAGCCCATTCAAAGGTAACTGCATAAATGAGGGTGACTAGAAAGTCACTGTGCATACTCAGGGGAAGGCACAGGCTCAGAAAAGACTTGAGAAGATCCCAAATTTACACCTCAGGCTGATTCTTGGGACAGACACAGCTTACAACAATTAAAAACAAAAACAAAACCCAGGAAACTCGGGGACAGGGAGAGAATCTGATATCTAGAGATCACAATATTAAATTCAAATGTCCAGTTTTCAACAATAACAACAAAAAAAATTGTTAAGGTATACAAAGAAATAGGAAAGTATGGCCCATACAATAAAGAAAAATAAACCAATAGAAATTATCACTGAAAAAAAAGTGATAGTAGATCTCCTAGAAAAAGACATTAAAACAACAGTATTCATGATCAAAGAACTAAAGGAACTTGTGGAAAAAGTCAAGAAAACTATGTATCAACAAAATGTCAATATCACTAAATAGCTAGAGAATCTAAAAGGAAACCAAAAACTTTTTTTTTACAGCTGAAAAATACAATAACTGAAATGAAAAGTCACCAGAGGGACTCAAAGGTAAATTGCAGCAGGTGTGAGTAATAGTCAGCCAACTTGAAGATCAGATCAGATCAATGATGGATCAGAGGAACACAAAGGAAAAAGATTGAAGAGGGACAGAGGCTACGGAGCCTGCGGAACATTATCCAGCAGGTGAACATGCACACTATGGGAGTCCTTGAAGGAAAAAAGTGAGAGAAAGGGGCAGGGAGACTATTTGAAGAAATAATGGGTGAACACTCAAATCTGATGAAAGACACAAAGCTCAACAAACGCTAAGCAGGGTAACTCTAAGAGACACACGGTGAGACACATTAAAATCAAACGTCAAAAGCCAAAGCCAGAGAGAGAATTTTGAAAAAAATCAAGAGACAAAGACTTGTCACATACAAGGGATCCTGAATAAGATGGTCAGATTTCCATCAGAAACTTTGGAGGCCAGAAGGCAGTGGGCTGCTACATTCAAAGTGCTAAAAAAAAAATCTATGAATAAAAAATCCTATATCTGACAAAGCTAGTTGAGGTGATGGAATTCCAGTTGATCTATTTCAAATCCTAAAAGATGATGCTGTGAAAGTGCTGCACTCAATATGCCAGCAAATTTGGAAAACTCAGCAGTGGCCACAGGACTGGAAAAGGTCAGTTTTCATTCCAATCCCAAAGAAAGGCAATGCCAAAGAATGCTCAAACTACTGCACAGTTGCACTCATCTCACATGCTAGTAAAGTAATGCTCA